AGAGCAAAATACAGCAGTTTATGCACCAATCACATTTGAGGAAATTGTAATTGTTATGATTAATAAAATATTATTTATAAATTAAGTGTGTTACAATTGGTACAGTAGGTGGAAAAGTTAAAGAAAAAAAAAAGACATCACAGATAACAAATGAATGTGAATCACTGTACAGATACATGACCTGTACAAGTACAGTTCACTGTTACTGGATTGTGTATACAATCAGACATGTAATTCTGCAAGATAATTCACTTGAGACTTGTATGCAAGGTTAACATGTCCCATTTGTAGCTAAAGATTGGCTAAGCTAGATGGGTCATCAGTTAAAATACCACTAAATTTTACCCCTGACAAGTTATCATTACTAACAGCATTATGGGATATGGAGCCTATTCAAGGAAAAGGCAGCATGCTACAGGGGACCCACAGTTTCTCTGTTTGGCCCTGAATATTGTGTTCATTTGCTTAGTCATTGCATTAATCCCCGCACACGTTAGAGCAAAAGAGAGACTGCTCGTAGTCTTACTCTGTATTGGATGGGATACTGGTCAATCATAGGTTCATGTATGTGTCCCCACCCACCTTCCACCAAAACAAGCTCTTGGTTGTACAAAGAGGCCCTGAGGTTTCTTCAACATGAATGTAAGAAAATGACCCTGGGAAAGGATTCAACCCAAGAGCTGTCCAACCAGAACAGAGCTTGCACCTAAACCATTAGGCCAACAGGGTTCCCACTTTTCTCTTCAGGGGAAAACAAAGAGAAAGGTGCAGCACTTTCAGTACCTTTTGCAACTTGATCCATGCTTTATGGTCATAAGACAGAGTTCCTCCAAATGAAGGAGTCAGCTGGCTGGCTTCTATGTAAGTTAAGAGATCAGAGGTGCCTTTCACCAAAACAGTCTGAAAAAGAGATCAGAACACAAGCAAGTTGAGTTTTCTTTGATAAATGATAGTAACAAATAAACTTTTCCTTTCATAGTCTGAGAACACACTTAATAAATGTCACTTGAAATTAGTGTCATTTTTGTTAGGGAGTTCCCAACCCCAGGGGAATAAACATCCCTGGGGTAGGGAAATCTCCACCCCAGGGAAGGAATATCCCTGGGTGGAAAAAAATTATTTGTAATGAGTACTCTTAGACAATCAGAAGCTCTCCCTCCATCTGAACTGGACAGTGCATGTACATTGTATGTAGCCTGTCCTCAATACAACCTACAGTACAGTCATTCTCGAAACACACTGTATTTTCTGAACTACTAACAGTATAGAATACATGTGGTAGATGTCTTAGTTCTGTGAAAGAGGAAGTTAGTTTACAATTCAGGGATAAAGATAATTTTTCTGATGGTAAATCACTGATCATCTCTAGAGGTAGTGTACATAATTCTACTCCTTTTTACCTGGAAATTAAGCTGTCCTTTTTCCTGTCGGGCGTGAATCTCTCTGGCCAAATGCTTCTTCACTTGCTTATCTTCGGGTGAAATGAGGTACATGCTTTGGATTGATCTGCTGTCATTCTAAATACCATGATATCAAATGAATTTCATGGCACTTAATTTTGAAGTTCAG